CTCATGATTTCTGTACCAGTGAAATGATGTCCCTGGAGAAAGTAAGTTCTTAGCCCAAGTCTGGACCCCAAAATTTCTGAAGAAATCATCGGAAGGCCAAAATCTGCCACCAACTCGTTAACTTCACCTTGTGTGAAAAGTTGTGGTTCACCAGACGTTTCAGGTTGAAAACAATCCCTATCATCATTTCTATTGACATTAGCTTCAGAATCAGATGAAATGTTATCAAGAATCTGCGATGTAGTAGGTACAGGTACATCAGGTCCATAAGCAACAGGTCTTATAGCAGATTGAAGATTTGGATAAGAAATTTCGTTTTTATTTTAAGTGTTGTAGCCTTGCATGTTACATGAGCAAAAATAGCAGTCAATATCTGTGGCTTTTAGGCTCACGCCAGACCATTGGAATTCTAAAAGGCAAAGACTCTTTCTTACCTTTAGTCCATTGTCTCAACTCTTCGGCACAAATTGTGCAAACTTTGTGCGGAGCCCATGATTTGTCTTGGTCCCCAAGTTTTATTCCAAAGTACGTGTAATACGCTTTTTTTGACGAATTCTTTACAACAGGTTTACTGTAAATATAACAGAATATGTTTGGGTCATTTACACAATCTCTTCATGTCACAGCGACGAATAAGTAATATTGAAAATAAAATAATTATGTCAAAGTGCACACACAAACAAATACTGTCCAGAAATGACATGTCATGCGGCCTGTCAATTGTTTATATACTAGCGGTGTATTTAACATGGGTTCTAGAACGATCGATAAGATTCACACGTCGCGATTGGTCTAGAGAAATCTATAGCCAGTGGTTGTCAACATTTAAGCATAACAAACTGTGATCAGATTTTAATGAAACTGTATAAGTACATATGACGTTTTGTGAAAAATATGTACGTGATAGAGATAAAAGAATATCATTTTCGGATTCAGCGTACAGGAATTACAGTAGAACAAAGGAATAAATTCATCTCAGGCCTGTGTAATTGAAACTTAACAATAGTAATGAAAGTATTCTAATGAAACTTTTTATACTGTAGATTAATGATTTGAAACAAGTTCATTTTAACAAAGTATAGCTATACAACATCTTTTTATGTTTTATTGAAAACAGCAAAACAACAAAAACAAACTGATGAAGTTACAGCAAAGCACCTGACGGATTAAATAAGTTTAAAGGCTGGAGCTTAAGCATAATAATCCTAGTGTAGAGAAAAATATTTTTGCTTAAATACCGTCATGTTCTGTGTAGCTTGCAAGTAGAAGAATTTGTGTTTTTGAGGTCGTTGCTCTTTGGATCCAGAATGTCCATTAATTTGGTGTTTTAGAAACGTAAGAGAATAACCTTTTTCGCTTATATTAGCATGAATATCGCCAAATGATCTTTAGAAAGCAGATTGCATTCGACTGATAATGTGTTTCAACTTCGAGAGGGATCTCTTATATGTCAATTTGGAAATTGATATACTTAATAAAAACATGTAGACAAGAAACAATGATGCATAAGCCTGGTTATAAGTATCGTACTTTAGAAGGACTGGATAACAGCATTGATTTTACTTCTCGCAACCATTACACACACACCAGGATCCAACTGCGTTTGACTTCGTAGAGTTTATTGCATTGTTAGTCATCATTAATATCACCAACACCTGTTGTCATGACCAAAAGCCTCTTGGTGGCAATCTCGTATTAAAGTAGATGGTAGCAGTGCATCAAAAACGTTGTTATTACAACTTGAAGCGTATTTATTTGTTGATCTTTGACTAAGAGGTTGGACCAAAATTACAAAGAAACCGATTAGTAAGATGGTATTGCAAGTGAGACAATTCTTTACAATGGGTGGACGCATTGACTAAATGTTTAGTAATATTTGCTCCTGCAGTAAGGTTATTGATGAAGCTGAATTGTTTAGTGAAGCTAACCAGTGCTACACAATTAGTAATTAGACTTCACACTCAAACTTTCCTTCAGAAAAAGAAAGTTTCTTGCAAAATCAGCAAGTCCTGTTATTATACTGGTAGTAACGGAAGATCAGAGTAATATGTTTCAAATATTGTGCATTTCTTCTTTTGCTGCTTTATTAGGTACATACTTTTATTCACGCGTATTCTCTCAATATTTTTTAAAACTTTATTCTTACAATGGATCATATAGCCTGAACACAGCCATTTAAAAAAAGTCATTGAAGTCTTGCTCAGGACATTGTTTTGTTTGTTTGTTTTAGAGCAAAGCCACTGCGGATAATCGACCCCCGGACTTTAGCGTTGCAAGTCCGTAGGCTTACCGCTGTCTCACCGGTAGACTGCTCAATATGCATTAGCGGGAAGATAAAAACCTGGTTGAGTTATTAATATTTCTTTCGTTAGAAAATCTTATTTTATCCATTTATTTTTGTTGAAGTTTTTATACAAATATTGTAACATTGTTAGTGGGCTAAAAATTATTTCTACTCTTTCAAGCAATGTTTGTACTGTGTTGAGTATCGCACCGGGTAAGAGGTTATTTTAAGAAAGTCACATAGAGCAGCGTTATTTCTGGATTCTTGTGATAAATGTTGTGTGTCTTTTGCTTTAGCCATGATCAGAGGACTGTGCTTCATCCTTCTCAATGCTGGAATACTGCTAAATTTATACAGTGGCAAATTTGTAGAAATGTTAGTTTAAATAAAGTACAGACAAAATATCCACAGAAAATGAATAGAGAGATATTTTGCAAAATATTTTGTAGCATTATTTTATAATAATACTTAAGCATTAAGAAAAACTTTGTTTAATAAGATGTATGGATGTGAGATTTTATATTATTCACAACTTTTTTCCGGTTTATTTTTGATCCAAAGTGAGTCTTTAGCCAAAGTAGGCCAGCTTATGATGGTTCATATGAGCCAAAGAGCTGTTTATTCTTATTTCAAGACACACACAGTGTATATATATTAAATAGTTTTTATTTCAATATACTGTTGTGTGAGTTTATTTTTACATCGCTTGTCATTAGACCCACCACCCCGAGAAAAAAAAATTACCACCCAATCAAACACTATCTTTTGGATTTAAATTTAAATTTAAAGTTTAAATTTCGCGCAAACTATTCAAGGCCTGTCTTCACAAGCCATCTCTAGTTTTGAACAGACAGAGACTAGAGAGAAGGCAACTAGTCAACCCCACTCACCTCCATCTCGTAGGTTACTCTTTACCAATTAATTGTGGAATTTACCGTCACATTGTAATGCCCTCACTACTGAACTGGCGAACATTTTCGGGAAAGTGTTTCGATCCCGAGACCCACAAATTACGAGTCGAACGCCCTAACCACCAAGCCATACCAGGCCTTGGGTGAATACGTAATTCATATCCACAATAACATTTTTTTTCAATATTATTGATCATTTTATGACTAGATTACCATCTTATACATTATTCAATTTTGCTTGATATCAGCCCCCACCCCCCAACAAATTTTCTTAATAGCAGAGCCATGGTGCAGCTGATTTATCAGGCAGATACAGTATTGGACATAATGTTTACATACCGTTCTATATTGATGTTATTGCCTAAATGCATGGAGTAGTTATTAAGTAGTAACAGAGACGGTAGCATTCGGTCGGACAAACATGTACGAGTTGTTATTCTGGTTTGTATAAGTTCTTTTGAGCATTTGTTCGTCAAAACATACGTACAAACTTGTTTTGTTTAAAAGGGTGTGCTTTTGTAATAATCTTTGTTGAAATAGATCAACACCTTGTTCAGACAATTTATCTGTACTTGGTGTGGAGTCATGTCTCGTCACGTGCAAGAAGTTATAGGGCGTTAAATTGTTCGACTGTCCAAAAATGGTATGAAGCAAACGGGTATTACCAGAACAATAGGGCACCCCCAGTGTAATGTATCCAGAATCCTGAAATGTCATTGAACTACACTACAGGAACCGTTATTCCAGGAAAGTGTACTGGTAGGCGCCGAAAAACTACTGTCCTAGTCGAAGAAGTCTTGTAACACCTTACGAAAGCAATGGCATGAACACATCCATTCCAGGCCATCCAGAATCAAAAGGACAATGATGAAAGTTGAAAAATAAGCGTGGACTGCCTTTAAAGATGTTATTGACATATTTTTAGGAAACAACAAGGACACAAATTATGAAAATATTGTCAATAACATGCTCGATAAATTCAAAGAGTTGGGTTGTAATATGAGATTTAAAGTTCATTTCTTACATTCACATACTGACTATTTCCCTGAATATCTTGGTGCTGTCAGCAAAGAACAAGGGAAAAGGTTTCATCAAGACATCAGAGAAATGAAGAGGAGGTATCAGGGAAGGTGAAACATCAACATGATGGCTGATTACTGCTGGTCTTTGAAATGAGATGCTCCAGATGCAATACATAAAAGAAATACTACAACATGTAGTTTTGAGACAAAAAGATGTAGATTTCACATAAAAATCAGGATGCATATTCATTTAACGTCAATGTTCTTCCCTTTTCTTCAGTTTGTTTGTATTTTTGATGAAAAAAAAATAATAAAAAATGTTCATTGTGGTAAATGAAATAATAATTTTTATCTATATAAGAGTTTTTCTTCCCAATTTGTAAAAAATACTTGCATGATAGAAAAAAAATGAATATTATTTTCAAAATCAGTGTAGCTGAATTATAGAAAATCTGTTATTAAAACCAAAACAAATTTTATAAATTTTAAATTTGCAGACCTATGTTATCATAGAAACAATATCATTAAAAAGAAAAAAAATTTATGACAAATTTCAGCATTATCATAAAATTGTAGAACAGAAACCACAAATAATTTAAATTGTAAAACAACAACAGAGTAAAGGATAAAACAAACTTCAACATTCTCACAGAAACAAAGAACAAGGAGTCCAGCAAACTTCAATATTATCATAAAACTAGGGATTTAAAGCAACAGAACACTTGAACAAAACAATATAAACTTCAACACTGACATAAGAACAGAAATAATCATATTTTAGTGTTAACCTACCCGCTTCCTTTGTGCTGATATCCTGGCTGCAGGTAACTGAATAAACAGGGCTATTAGCTTATGCTTAAGCCATTTTACGTGTCTAAAAAACTTCAAGTTCACTATTTTACTCAAGTAAATGCCTTTATTAAACAAAAAGATGCAAGTTTTATGATAATTATATACAGATTTCTTAACTCTCACTAAAAACTCACAAATTCATATTTTCTCTTTACATAGAAGCTTAATAATTGGTTTCTCAAACTATGCATAACTCAAAAGTTATTTTAAAATAAGATAATGAAAAACTGTCTTGTTTGTCCACTAGTACAGAAAATGTAATGACAGGTATAGAAGATATAATTCAAACACTTTTCTTACTACAACATAATGATCTTGGAAATTTATCAAATTGGTTGGTGTAATAATACATTTCTTACCCAAAAATGTAAAAATCAACTAAATTACATGATCTAACAGGAAAATTTCTTACCTAATATATAGAAATTTTCATAAAACCAAATGGTGTGACAATATAATGAACATACTAGTAAAACTCTACATTTGAATATCAGAAATATTTACTAATTCTAACATAATAAACCTTGATACCTAAATATTTCATTCAAAGATAAAAAATTGAAAAATAGATGTCTTATCAATAAGCATTTTTGTTTTACAAGGCAGAGAAAAATTTATGAGGTTGGAAAAATTAAACCATATACAATTTTCTTTACCCCCAAGTTACAAAACTTCTAAAACTATAGCTGTTTTAAGATAGCTTTTCAAATCTGACAGTTAAAAAAACATTTATTAATGCCAAGATACAAAAACTATTCCAGTCTTTATCTCCACCCTGAGATGTAGTGGAAGGATTACAGATAATTTTTATAATAGTTACAAACACAACCAGGGGTAGCAATGGGGTTCTCTCTTGCTGCAAGCAGGTCAAAGTGTGCATGTCACGACTTTTTAGAGTTACATACACAACTTAATTAAACTACTTCAGTTATATTACGGTATATGAATACAATTGGCAATAAAACATAGTTGGTATATCAAATGTTAATATTATATAAGTTTTAAGTTATTAATTTTATAAGGAAATATTTAAAAAGTTAACATTTTCTGACACTGAAAATGTATTTCCAGTTGGTTCTTACCTCTTACCACCCAAAGCTATCTCGACCTTGATTTGCCCTCTAAGTATTGCTAAAATTTTGAACAGCACACTAGTCTTTTATACCCCTTTATTTGTTGTGTCATTGCAGCAACATGTGTTGATCATGTGACTACCCTTCACCAATCATTCTGCACCACCTATACTAGCACAGGTAGCTCCTTCTAACCATTGCAGCACAATCCTCATATTTCAAAATTTTAGCAATACTTAGAGGGCAAATCAAGGTCGAGATAGCTTTGGGTGAAAGATGGTAGAACTGTTTTGGAAAAATTCCTCAATCCTTCCTAGCATGAGAATTGTGACATTTGCTCTCTAAGTCTTCCCTCTTGTCTAATTTATTTACCATCCCTCTGAGAAGTACAGAATTTAGCGTAAGTTACTTATTATAATATAGTTATTACTCAGGCAAAGCATAGTTTTTATAGCCTTAAATCTTATTTGTTTACAGAGCCATAAAATAGAAATTCAGACCCACTTGTCATACCCACCTGTCACATCCTCTCTTTCACAGATTGCCAATATTTCTCTCTAACATTTAATATTATTTATAATAAATAGAAAGCCAGAGTTTTAATCTATCAAATGATGTATCACATTAAACTGTTTTCTGCACAGAGGATTGTCTACTTTGCCTCCAGTTCAAACATTATTCCCACAGGAAACACATCAATGAGATTAACTGAATCTTCAAAGGCTCTTATCACATAGTTAGAAAGTCAGACAAATTACGTTGTCTTTCAAAATTTGTAGTGCATGCTGGATGGATTTAGACATTTTTAAACCACAAACATGAAACATGAGTTAAAATGTTCTCTTATTTGGAGTGTAACGGTCGTTTTATCTAACTTAATTATGAAAACAGAAAAATTATGATAGTTATAGGACACTGTCTGCTTTTTACATGTTATTATTTTGTATTCTTAGTACATTATTTAATTAAATAAAAATTATTTACTGTAGTAATACCATTAGCATACAAAAGTAGGGTTAACTTTCATCAATAGTCAACAACAACAAAAAAGAAGACCCACGTAAGTACAATATTTCTTGTTTTTCATGTGCATTCTTTATTTATCATTATAAAAGTAATTAAAATGTAAAAATTAGAAACTTATTAGGTTAGATTAGATAAGAAAAAGAAAAAATAATAATAATAAATTTTCACTAGGTATGCTTCTGAATAGCTTGTGTGTTATGTCATTCGATATGGTAATGTGAGCTACATGTTCACCAAGTGATTTACAACTTGTATAGTGGTATTATTAGTTAGACACAGTTCAAAGAGCAATAAAATTTAAGTAGAAACAGATGTATACTGTTACGAGGTTTAAGCTATTTTGGGATAAATAAATGTAGTTTCTTGTTACAATTTCAAGTCATTCTACAAATAAAAAATGGTCATTTAGACTTTTTTCATATTTTTTTATTGTGGTTACGAGGTTCTTCAACTTTACTAACTCTGTATAGAGTTAAGGTAGAGAGAAAATATTAAAAATAGATAAAATATGAAACTTTACTAGAAATAAATGTTTTAAATTTATTTAGGAAGTTTTAGAGATTACGCAAATGAAATTTGACAATTTTCAGATGAAGAAAGTATTTTTAATCTCAGCATGTAAATCACCTTGTACTTGGAGCAGTCAACATTTTGACTCCAAATATTCATGAAGAAATTTTTCATAGAAATACTTCATTAAATATTATGATTTTTTGTCTACAAAAAACTTATAATGTTTACTAAAAGTTTGCAAAATTTTATGAAGATACACAAAACATATTAGAAGTTATAGTGCAGAAACTCTAAAGGTCAGTTTGGGATTATGAACTCAGCTGAATCAACCAAACCTGTAGCAATAGAGTTAATAGGAGACACATTTCTTTTTGCAACAAAAATAGTCTCCCCTCAATAAAGAGCTTAATAACAGTTTCATTTTCAATTTCATTCAAAGCTACACAAGAGCTATCCGCACACAGCCATACTTAGCTTTGAACTGATAGATGATTATGCAATAGGCATGTTTCATATTTTACCAAATGGAAATTAATAGAATAGAAAACTTAAAAAGAAGTATTAAGATAAAATAAATCTACTGCTTCAAATAAGGCTTACTTTTTTCTTTAGTTTTAGCCTACCCTAAAATTACTGATGAGGAGTGGTATTTCCAGAGAAAACAGTCTAAAGTAAGGCAAAACAAAACATAAATAATGTTTTTTTCCAGTAAATATTAATGAAGATACATCACAAAACCAACAGACATATTGCTTACCCCAAGATATTGAGATGTTAGCAGCTTCTCTCCAACCAATTCTCCAATCTCTCCTACAACAGAATCATCTTTATCAATTTCTGGTTCTATTTCTGCCTCATCCTGTGAAAAACATTAAATATTTGATACATTAATTCCTCCAACCTTTCCTAAGACACAATTATCAATTTTTAATTATATTGTTTCTTCCACCTAGAATAAAATCAACAACTGATACATCAATTACCAAAACTTTCGAATAACAGTATTATGTATATCATTTTTTCTTTCATCATGGATAGAAATCAAACACTATAATCATGATTTCCTCATCCATTCTTACAACAGAACAATTATTTGATTTACTTCATCAGGGACAAAGAATCAAACAATACATACTACAATCTTACACCTTTTCTGTGTTAAACAGTCATCTTTATGAATTTCTGCTTTTCCCTAAATAATAAAAATTAAATACCCCAATTCATCACTCCATCATACAACAGAATAATCTTCATCAATGTCTGCTTTAATTTCTTTTTGATTTTATGAAAAAAATCAAATATTAAGTTTCTTACAAACACTGCAAACTCTTTATGTTCAAAGAAATAATCCACAAAAAGACAGGAAACAATCTAAAATATTTGTGTTAATAATTACAGCCTTTTGAATTCAACTGATCACAATATAAACAACTATTAAGTTCCAAAAATCAATGTATCTATTAAACATAAACAACTTCCATACTTTTCTGATAATTATACATATAACACTTAAGACATTAGTTTTAATTTTTTACTGTAAACTTTCCAAAAGATACAAATTAAACTTACCAATAAAAGATAATAATACATTACCTCATCATCATCAGATTCTCCATCACTAGCACTTCCTTCTTTGTTGTCATCTATATACAGAAATAGGAATAATTACCAAACAGGTCTTTAACATTTATGGGTTTATCCAGGAATTTCTCAGTATAATTAAAAATGTTATCTCTATTCAGAATTAGCACTATAGAAGGTTATAATGAATTAGATAGAATGACCTAACATTTTTTCACAGCATATATTTAGCAGAGATATCTTACCTGTGCTGAATTTCTTCAACACATATTCTATCTGCCTCTGAGCATCATTTGAGCTTTCATTCATTAGCTGTTCAAGTGTAGCTTCCAATTTCTGTTGAACACAACAAAAATAAAAGCATGCATTTTTATAAAATTAAATCCAACAAAAGGAGTAAGATCAGTTTTGAAAATACTGTAAACATATGTATAGTAAATTAAAGATGATAATGACATTCTTTGCAACAAAATATTAAGCAGGAGTAAAAAAAGTCTTTGTCTAAAATACAAAAATGAAATAATTCTTTGATAAACTGTTTAGGCAGAGTATTCATGGTGAAACTTTGTGGAATGGATGGCAACTGCCTATTGTAGAGACAAAAGTGTAGAGGACTACGTTTTGAAAGTTTTCCACCTATCATCATCAGGTCAGTCTTTAAAGTATTCTGGTGGATTGTGGAGAGTGTGTTATGATTGTTTGGTTTATCCATGTTTCTGATTGGAGGAGAGATTTCCTGTAGATTCAACCAATGGTAGCCACAGGTTACTCACCTCTAAATCTGGAATCTCTGTTTAATGAAGGTTTAATTGTGTTAATACAAAATGATTCTTTAATTTTTCTTTTCTCCCAATATTTGTCTGTGTCAATGATTCTACTTTTTTCCCAGTATATTTTGTGTCCAGTTGACATGGAGGTTCTGCAATGGCTGAATTTTGTGTTTTCATGAGTCTTGTACTGTCTTTTTGTTCTTTTATTCTTGTTGCAAGTTTTTTCCATTTCTCCAATGTATATTTTGTTGCAGGAACACAGAATTTTATAAATGATGTTTTTGTGTTTCTAATTAGTAGGTTGCTGTTTGTTTTTTACAAAAATGGACCTAATGTCTTGTAACATTTCCACCGGACTTGTATGTTGAATTTCTTGGCTATGCATTTGAATTTTTCACTGCAATTTTGCAGGTAGGGGAGGTAAATGGTAGTAGTGGTAGTGTTTTTCTGATCTTTTCTTTCTGTTGTGGTCTCTCTCAGGGAGTTTTTGATGAAGAAGGAGGTGTAACCATTCTGTTTAAAACCCTCTACAATCTTTTGGCATTCTGTTTCGATGGACAACATCTTCATTATTTGACCCCATTTTCGTGAAAACTTACCAGCCTTCTTAGAACATCTTAATTCCATAGACTAAAGAATCCACTTCACCATGGAAATAGAGGAACAAAACAGCCTACCTTTCTTGACATACTCATCAGCAGACAAGAGAGAAAAATCACCACAACTGCTTACAGA